TTAATATGTCTCCGAGAGAGAGAGAGTACCCCTAAGGTACCCCCCCCCCCCCCCCCCCCCCCCCCCCCCCCAAAACGGGCATTGAAATCGGGGCTGGCTCGGGACGGGGAAAGGGAGGGAGGGAGGGAATGGGTCGAGGTTCCAGTGTGGCGGGTGGATGCGTTAGTCTGGACTGGGGAAACAAGAAAGGATACATTTCGGTAGGTAGTGTGGTGGAATGGGGAATGGGGAATGGGGGATGGGGGATGGCGGCAAATCGAAATGATGCTGTTGATGGATAATGATAATGATGATCAGAGGGCAAAAGAAGAAACCCAAGCAAAGAAAAAGCAAAGAAAGTGCCCGTAATTGAGGACCAGATCGAAGGGCAGGCAGGCGAAGTAGACCGGTTCGTAATGAGCCGACCGATCAGTTCCCTCTTCTAGAACGCCATCCCGTGACTGCAGAGACGCTAATCCCTCCGGCTGTGATTCCGCGGATTTCTTGGAGGTAGGGTTATCGATTCATCATTACCGTCGGTCTTACGACCCCTGATCCACCCAGAAAGGGAGAAGGCGAACACATCCTTGCCCCGTCGGGTGTCGAACGAGCAGAGGACTAGGTGATCGATACCGTATGTAAGTAATCTAACTCAAACCCCATTGCAAATTTACTCCTCCAATCTCGCCCAAATGGGTTCATCCTTGAAACTAGGTCAAGTCTGCCGTAAGTCCAGAGCAGGAAAGAAGGGTGGCCTTTGTTTGACATGAACGGGAAACATTTCCCAGGGATCTACCTGGCACTGTCGTCAATTGACAGGTGCTCTGGCACTGTGAAGGAGAACGTGTCTATCAGGTCCGCGTATCCATCATTTCCATCGGACGAGACAGGCAGAGACAAAAGCAAAGGCGATAGATCCGGTAGATCAGATCAACAAAGAGGTACTTTTGCACGAGTCTTGTGCTATGCTGATGATAGTGGATGCCAAAACATGGTGTTCGCCATTCATGCGACATACCAAACTAGCATCTCACACCTAAGAGTCCGATTGTGATAATCCCAATCGCTGCTTCTGCAGTATGACCAAACCTTACTAGCATACCGATTCCATCATCCTCCCTGCATCGGTCGCGATCCCACCACCGCGCCCCCTGGCCTTCTGCAAGGTAGCTCCCCCCCAATGGCGAACAGACCTCTTCTACCGTACTATCAAACTACCAACTAACGTATGTACTACCTACCTATTTTATTTACCTTTTGGGTTTCACAGCAGATCAGTCGATCTTCCATGGCTTTATTTACCCCATCCGGTACACATGTCCTCTTTCTCTGCTTCGATGATCTGCTGCAGAACACAGATTCCCCGAGCGGGCGGCAGAGAACGCCGCAGCAGCTTGCATGCGGCCACAGTAACTTTTCCTTTCTTTTCCTCTTTCTTTCTTTCTTTCTTTTTTTTTTTTGCTCAGTAGACACAGCAGGTAGATCAACCTTGTTTCAACGGATATCTGACAGTTTGCAGGTTGTGTGGCTAGTGCTCCATAGCTAGTGACCTGCCCTCATTCCACTTCCCAATTCGCGATACTTCTTCGATGTATCGCACATCGCGTACTTTATGCATTGGGCCTAATTTTCAGTAATTGCATCGAGCAAGCTACGTACTCAGCAATGCAAGTATATTATTGATGATGCTGGATGAGGCTGGACGCGTTTTAAGATTAGAAGACTATCGGGGAGGGGGATCCATACAGGCGATCGGAGAGTTGATAGGTAGATCCGCGCGGCTAGAGACACAACACTACAGAATACTCAATAGATTAGACTACCGGTACAGTACTTAGTAGGCACCAACTGAAGATAGCGCAACTCCAGAAGATCAATCAGTCACATGCCCACGTTCCAGAGTCGGAGCTAGATTCAAACCATCTGACTCGCGCCTTCAATTGCAATGTATACAGTGACCGAGACCCTCCAAAGATCCTCAGTCATAGAGCGAACAAGCCGAAACCCGCGCGCGGCCCAGGGTACCCCAAACTAGCAACCAAACGATCCAGCCCTCATCAACAATCCTTGAACCCCCCCCAGCAAGAGCCGAACTCAACGTCCGCACTCCGACGGAAAGCGGAAATTTCCAATCTACCTGAAGCCTCTTCCGGGGGGGGGGGGAATTTCTCACTAGGACCTTAGGGCAGGGCTGCAAATGTCTTAATTCTCACAGCCAGTTACCGTAGTCAGTGCTGCCTAGTGCCTACTAGGTACCTACAGTAACCAAGTTGGGGACCCCCCCCCCCCCTAACCGGTCTAACTACGGAGTCCAGTTCTGTACTGCACAACGGTTCCTGCATCTAGCGGCCTTCCTTCCAGTTTCTAGTGTCATTCTAGTCCGTACGGGAAAACCCGTATGCGGATTACGAGCGTCTTTTTTGGTAGACACAAACCCAAACCCACCAGACAGACACCCATAACTAGAACTCAAAAAGCCCACCACCATCCGAAAAGATGGAGCCCGACCGACTCCCGTCGGACTCGGTCTTGCCTTCCTTGGGAAACTCAGACCGTTGTGAGGAAGAATCTAGTAATTTTCTATTCTACGTTACCTGCTTGGGATTGGGTGTAGTGTATGCAATGACGCTTGTCGTTGAACACCACCACCACCAGCCCCCCCGGGCCCATCTCTCCCCATACACTAGGTACAGTACCTTACAAAACCGTACCTACTACCTAGGAGCTTAGGGCCAGGCACTGTGCCTAATGCAGTAGGAACTGGGACGAACTGAATCTGGGACGAATCTCGGGAGAGAACCATGGTTTTCCACTCGCCCGCGGCTTTGGGGCAAAGTTACCGTCCGAATGGGCCTTCTAGAAGGTTTCTGGAATTTCGGCTTTGGCCTCTGGGGGACCCATCTGTTGGGTGGGTGGGTGGGTGGGTTCTCGTCGGGGATGGCGTTGGGCATACTCATATGTCAGAGTTGAGAGTTGAAGGGGGTGGGTGTGGGTGTGGGTTGGGCTGTCAGTTGAATTGAATATTACTGATGGAACATACCGTAAGGTTTGATGCTCGCGCAGAAGAAATTGGACGGCAGTTGATCGGATCGCATGTCCTCTGGAGCTGTCTGCCGACTCTGCTGTTGCTGTTGACGGCGGCATGGTTTGATGCTAGCCGAGATGCGATGTACCGAATCTGTTGAGTGACATGCAATATATACTGGCGTGTCTCTCCGATGATTGAGACTGAAGTTCAATTGCTATCGCAACTATAGGGCAAGAAAGTACCTTTGGTACAAAGCACGAGCGATCAGTCAACACAAGCCAACCAATACATATCATTGGTTGCTCTGTTCCAAAGAGAGAACTCGACTGTACTTTCTCAGTTCAATTCAAAGGCAAGGCTGTCTAGGCCCCGTCAAACATACTATGTAGGCGTTGATAACGCGCGTGAACTAGCCTCATCCTCGATAGATGGATAGATCATCTCTCTATGTTTCGGGTGATTGACCAGCCACTATCCAACTCTCACAGGGATCATCCTTGCCACACGCTCGGCATGAAGCGTACGGTACTTTCTGCATTAACTGGCTACAGCGGGGTCCCTGGATCTTAAGGAGAGAGATAAGTTAGGCGCCATGCGACTCCGTACACGCACACAACACCAGGTCGAGTTAACTTCTCAAACGCCGGCGGCTCGGAAGCCGCTGGGATCTCCGGAACCAACAAGCAGACGCGGCGCCTGCTGGGTACGGGCAAGTGGACACACGATTCGGGAAAAAGAGAATTCTGATTCGCTTTGGCTCCCTCCGCGCCCCCATTGTGGCGAGTGTCAGGGAGGTTCCCCAAGAAGTAAGAATGATGTATGCAGTGGATGAGTAGCAGCAGCGGCGGCAGCAAGCGGCAGCGGCATCAGCAGCTTAGCGGCGGTGTGGGGTTCGAGTAATTTTAGGTCATACGGAGTGCAAGCGACTGGGTATCCTCGTATTTGCCAAGGACGGATGCGAAGACTTGGGAAGGCGGTCACAGATGCGATGGAAGGAATACATACATGGAATACGTACTGCAAATCTATCGTGCTGTAAGTATGAGGATGTATCATCCTTGTCTTCCTAAAGTGGTAAGTACCTACCCTAGTCACTAGTCGTAGTGGGTAAACAAACGACTTCCATGTGTCCGGGTATGTCACCCGCTGAGAAAGCCCGCACAGGGCTGCACCAAGGTCCCATCGGGTACACAATCTTGTGGGAATTCCCTCCGTGTCAATCAATTTCTACTGTCTGAGTTACTAGTCTCCCTCTAGACCTGCCTTGGAGTTCATGAGGAACGATGATGAGCTTGCCTGGCGGTTTGTGTAGAAAGACCCATCGGGGAGAGGGGGGGGGGGCTCGCGGGGAGTGGCGCTAGAAGGACTAGAAGCACGCGAGAAGAATGCAGGCTGGGTCTAGTCTGGGTCGAGAATAATACTAGCCTACGTAATGACGGAGACGGGTAGCGGTGGATTTGCCGGATCAATGATCGTTATTAGAGGGCCCCACTGCCCCCTTTCAGCCCGTCCGATTTCCCCGGTGACCACCAGCTCAGAAATATCCACCAAAAGAGAAAAGAAGATGGCCGAACCCGGAGGGCTAGAAGGGAAAGAGAGGTTTCTGGAATCCAGGGTCGAGACCGACAGGCGAGGTATCACTTGAAAAGAGATAAAACGGGAAGCGAGAGGGTTTGAAACGAAGTTAACGTGTACACGGAGTATGTTAGGGGAGAAAAATGATGTGGCTCAAAAGGCGCCGAGTTGACCTGTCCTAGTCTAGTCTGTTTAGTCTCAGACAAACGAACCACCCATCCCATCATCCCTCCTGTGGCTGACATGAATCAAATCAGGAGACTGGTGGGCCAGCCGAGGAAAGGGATCCAATCAATAAACACTAAACAGTGATTTTGCTCGCCATAGTAGTCTCCCGAAACTCTCTAGCCAGGCGACTAGGTGCCTACCTACCGTACCTAAGATACCTGACCAGCCAACGGGGAGCTCTCGGATTGGTTCTGAGACCTGATCCAGGCGAGAGCAGACCCTCTTCTTCCCCATAAGGTGGCCGACTTAGCAGTCGGGTATAGTAGTAAAAATGTCCGGAGGCTGCGGCCTGCTGTGGTTGCTTACCTCATGCATGCCCCTCGGCCCCCTTCTCCCTGCGTCGTCGCATCGAGGGACTACGGTAAACCGTAGGTGACCAAAGTGGAAAGTCAAGCTCGCTAAGATGATAGGCTGGCTTAATGTACCTTACCTAGTACCTGGCTACAAGGTATCAAGCAAGCAAGCGCATTATCCAATGATTGTTTGTGCCAGTTTGCTGCTCGATCAAGTCGGGATGATCGTGATCGTACAATGGGGCGCCTATGCAGGTACTACTCCGGGCCCTTCCCAGGGTGCGTCTAGCGCGTTGGGGGAAAGCAGCCGACCAGAACACCGCCGAACTAATCGGCTCTATTTTGTTAGCAACCAAACGATGGCAAATGATAGCCCCAGTCCGAAATTTTAGGTCTCATCGATGACGGAAAATAAATCAAGCCAAGGATCAAGAGAAAAGGAAATAAAAGTCAATGGGACGATCTTGACGAGACGTTCAATCAATCAACAAGCGAACATGCTGAAAGACACGGGAATTTCTAATATGGATGATGGATCGATATGGCATTTGCCATGATCGTTACCATTCATCCAGTTTCCAGGGGCCCCTGATTCCCACTTTTTCCCACCCACCCCAAAACACCACGCGAGCGAGCATGAAGACAAGCCCCCAGCGGATCCATCCGCGGGTTCCTGTGAGCGGCTGTCGTCTCCACTCACATGCACCAAACTTGCCCGAGAAGTCGGTTCCTTCTCCCCTAGCTTCTGTGGTGATGGTAGATAGGTTCAAAGGGTGCAATTCTGGGTGGAGTCGAATTTTTCTGGCTTTTCTTCGCTTTTACCAGAACAGGTGCGGTGGTCGCCGCAATGACGATGGTGGGTGTGGCTAGATCCCCGATACTATTCCTCTTTCTAAGGTACTGTACGGAGTACTTTGATGTCTCATGACGGCCCAAGATCCATTCAATCCATCCATTCCCTTACGACCGAACTAACAGATGGCCAACGAGAACAATGACTGATTGATACCCGGTTGCGATTGACTCGGATTCTGGAACCTCGGATTATATGGATGATGATGATGATGATGAAGATGAAGATTGCTGTTACAGATCAGATGTGCCTTTTTGTTTTTCTTTTCGTCCTTAGGGTGATGTATGGCCTTCCAATTTCCGAAATGAACCCCCGTGTTTGGAATCAGCCATCATCGGGATTTTCTGACTCATGTCCACGAAACATTGATCATGGATTAGGGATTGAATCATCGGGTGTACTCCGTAAGCATGAACTACTCAGGCACAACAAGAAGCAACAGCAGAAAGGATGGCGACACAAGAGCCATTCGGAACGTTGGCAACTTGAAGGGGGGAGGACGCAGCGAAACCCCTAAGAAATGGAAAAGAAAGGGGGAAAGGAAAAGCAATAGGAGGGGAAGACTCATGGTTTCGCATCCACAGCTTCGGGACGGGAGAGCCGCTGACCTAGCTATGTACAGTAGGTATGTACGGTACTATGTACTGTACGCTCGACAGTAAACAGAGCTGCTTCTGACCTTAGTGCTGGGTCTGTATTATGTTTTGCGAATTGATTATTCTTACTAGTTTTTCCCTTTTCTCTTTCTTCTTAACTAAATCCATCCAACTAACTCATTATCGTTACTGTTATTCCTCCGATAATTCTGGCCTATTCTGGCCCCGTCAGCTGGGGTATGGTACCTTTTTCTTACTACTCCGTACTTACTATTTTTATTGGGTTTTATTTTATGTTTTTTTTTCCTCTTCGTTTCTTTTTCTTTTGGGTCCTGCTGCTGCTGCCACTTTATCTCATCTCTTGTCTGTTTTGCTTTGCTTTTTTATTTTTGAAATTCTTCAGTGGTTCTCAGTCCGTCTTTTTTTCTGATTTCTCTGATTTAATATTCTATTTTTTAAGCTTTTCTTTTTCAGTTTTCAGTTGACTGTCTGGTCAGATCCTCCCCAATCTTAAAAAGAATAACCCATTTTAGTAAATTAAAATAATCAAAAAAAAATTGCAATGGCAGTAGAATGAAGAAGAATAAAGCGAGGTACTTACCGGTATATATCAAAGTGATGGAGCCCCTTCAACTCTCTACTTGGTTAAATTCTTCAATTCATCCTTCTCCATTCCCTGCCTGGCCATTCAATTGATCTCGCCCTTCTTGAACTTCTTCCTATCTACAGCCAGGACCTCCTCCTTCTTCTCCTCCTTCATCCGCCTCCCTACGTACTTTCGCCCATTCCCTCGCGCCTTCGGTTCTTATCCCGACCTGCCTCTCTCCGTGACGTTACCTACCAGGCCGCGTTCCATCCTCCCTTGCGATACGTCCAGTCTCGCATTTGTTTTCTTTTTCGTTACCGGATTAGACGGAGTTCACTTCCGTGGCACCTCCTTTCCAGGATTACCTCCTTGCGGGCTGCATTAGTCGCTCCGTTTCCTTGGTTGTCGGCTCTTGATCAGATCGCGCTTGATCTCCAATAATTCACCAGCACGTCCCTGCGTGGTTTACCGCGGGTTTGCTACGATCTCGACATATCGAACGGCGAAAAAAGCAACAAAGACCGCAGATTTTCTCGAAAGGAAAGCAAAGTACCACGGCCTAGCCACCGGGCTCGAAATAACCCAGCAAAAACGACCTGTCGACTGGGCTTGAGGGACTCCACATCCTTTCCTCATTCTTACAAGCCCATTTTCTTTGGTACCTTGAAGTCGCATTCCTGCCCTACAGATCTACCTCTCCTCGCTACATCACCCTGTCTCGAGCGTCAGACCTGTGATCCCTCTTAATAAGGATTGCTCTTCCGATCTCACCTGCAGCTGCATCATCCGTCCTCTGCATCATTACCGCCTGTTGCCGGGAATCTTGGGTACCTCGCTAGGCGATCTATCAACAAACGCACAGTCACCCCATTAATTGGATTTTCCTATTATTTTATTTTCAACTATTTTAATTTTCGCCTTCGACATTTTCTGAAATTAATCTGGCCTCCGGGAGAGCCAGACCTGTCCTTTATTTAAGCTTCCGTGAGTACTCCCTTCAACCCCAAGATCTACTTTCTCTCTTCCCATCCACTTCCACCCTCCTGCCTCTCTTGCCTCTACCATCTCACAAGACCAACCTTGACCTCTCTGACCATGGCTGTCTTCGCAGAATCGGCTATGATACCTAAGGATCTCTCAGCCTTCAACATGGGACGCGGAGCTTATGACACCACGGGGGTCAAGAAGCCCGGTGCACCGCCGCCACCCCCTTCGACTCGATGAATCCCTGGAGGACATCTGCCAACCACAATCTGCTATCCTATTGATCTCTCGAGCGAAAAAGTTACTTGTGGTTATCTTGCACCTGGTGCAGGGCCCCTGGAGTTTTAACGTGACTGCTATGAAGTCGAACTTGTAAGTATTGTGCTCCCCGTCTGCGCATTGGCCTGGATCCAGAACTGACCACCCAGTCCAGTTTCTGTATCACTATCTACCTGATTTTCTTACGCTCTTCGTTGGCCACCTCTGTTTTCGGCATATTCGACTCGGTTCCTAATCATGTCCTTGTCCTTTCCATCATCGCCTCGATCATGGACTGACACCGGCTACCTTTCTTCTTCTTGGATCGACTCTTCATTTGACGCATACACCCTTTTTAATTTTCCGACACGACCTCCGGTCCATGATCTGTTTCATTAAAAGCCATCTGTTTCTTTTACTCGGGTGTTTCATTTTGGCTACTCTAGAATCGGCGTTTCTTATAGACGGACTGGGTTATTGTGCTTTGACTTTTCCTTTTGTGCAGTGGGATACATGGATTGATACCAAGACAGACTAGAACCTCCGACCTCGCGGTCACTTACCTTTTATTGTTATTTCGTCTCATTTTACAGAATACATTTCCTCAGTGGATTTCGTCTCCTTTTGTTGCAGTGTGCGGGTTTTTCATGATTTGCGCGGATGTATGTATGCTATGCTAGGCATAGCGAAGCATTTCCTCGACAATAGTGATCATTTCATTGCCCTTGGCCAGTTCTTTGTCTCCTCCACTCTCCAGATTGGGAGTCTGGTCTTGCATGCCAGCTTGAAAGCTTCGGGAATAACCTCGCACTAGGCAGGCTGGACTGCAATCCTTTAAGCGGCGATTGCCCCAGGGTTGGCTTGACGGGAGAGCACAGAGCATCTTCAACGTGATTTGCCGGCCCTAAGCATTATCTGGGTGGATCCCTGGTCGAGAATCAGGAAGTTCGAGCGCAGGCTTGCATGTGCTTCTTTTTTGGGCAGCCACCGAATCCTGCGCAAATCATGTTGTGCAACGTCGGCTTGATGACAGCACCGGGGCTGCTGCCACTGGGGAATTGTTTCTCTCCAACTTAACAGGCTGACAGGCGATTCTGACCGTTGGAGGAAGAGAGGGAGGAAGAAGGGGGTAGTGGGGGCGAGGGAGGGAGGACCCTCTTTTGGCACGTCATGCTCGGATTCCATGGCATGTTATCGGACACTGTTGGTTCCCTCGTGCTTTCGACGTAGAGTCGGCTTGCCTTAGCACCTAGCTACTACTTTCTTAGTTGCTTTGAGGTTGCTGGGTTGGGCTAGATCGCTTGTCGCCCAATGAGAGGATTTCGATGTACTGTTGAGGTCTTTGATCACCAGAAAAGTTGATCTATCGCCTTTACCGCCAGGATGAGGCCTGAAAAGGAAGACACAATCTGCATTGACACCGTCGATGGGTATGGACAGGCGGCGGAATGGGACAGGTATCTAGGCAGGTGCTTGCAGGCCAGGCCGAAAGAGGGCGATGGTCATGAAGTCCTGAAATCTGAGTCCTGACTAATGGGTGTGTGTGCAGGACGTTTCTTTCTCTCGGGGAAGACGGAGCAAAGAAAAAAAATAATTGACGAAGCCTAGCTAGCTAGTCCGGAGTAGGTATGTACAGTACATACAGCAAGTACATTTTGTATATTGTACAGGATGTACTCAGCCCAGGGCCACCAGATTATCGGTTGGTTAGGTAGGTACAATCAATTGACGACACCTTTAAGCCCCTCTTTTACCCCATTTCCCGTACGTGCGTGTCTGCTGTCACCCGAAAAGCCACTGATTCTTTTTTTTTTCCTTCTGTATTTTGTTCAGTCTGAATTTCTTGGTCAGGTTTGGGTGAAATTTAAACTACACCGCATTTCCTCGCCAATGATGCAGACGACGTAGTTAGTCTACGCCTCAGGTACCACTGCCTGCCTGAACACTGGACAGTCTAGCCCTCTTTCGGAGAAGCGGGAACATCCCGTGACTGTCAGGGTAAGCTAAACCGAGTTGGGCATCGCGCCGTCAATTCATCTACTCGGACCTCCGCCTCACTGGGTATCGACATGGGCGGTTAGCATCTCTCGTCTGGTCTCTCTCTCTCTCTTGTCG